GGGAGCTAATTTTTCACCACCTCAAAAGACGGGCCCTCATATTAACTGGCTGAAACGAGAAGGTGGTGTAAACTCCAAATGCGATCTTCAGCCGATAAAATGAGCCGTCTCAACTTTGTAATCAATGACCGACTTACATCATCCATGTAAGCAACAAACTCCATAATCTCTGTTATTTTGAAGATGCAATTCGCTACTCAGTTTCTTGGCGACTTTTGAACAAATTATAGGGTAAAGCAGAAAAATGTGAGCTTCCTTACCTAGAAATAACCTCAATTGAATATATTTGATGCTTGTCTTAAATCTGGACAAAACAAGTACTGCAGAACCTGAAAAATGAGAAGTTACAGAAAGTTATGAGTGTTGGGTGATTTAAGACGAGTATGAAACCAAAGACCGAACAATGCAATAAGTGTGTTTAGCAACAATGATATTTTTTTTTTTGTCACTTAATCATCAAGAGATGTAAACAAGCTATTTCTGATATAAGATAATATTATCCAAATAAATTGAACTGAACAAGGTATACCTGATTCAGCACTTGCCTCTGTAGAGAGTCCAGACAAGGCACATTTCGCATAAGATAATAGTCGGACTCGTTGAGAAGCACCTAACTTGCTCATCAAAGACCTTAGTAGCCCACTACATTTAATAGAAAACACAAATCAAATATTGTGAATATTTTTTTAATCTAAAATAAATAAATAAAGAGGACAAATGTAATTAGTACTTACTCAGTTCTCAGTACTGTGAGGAAGTCGGGGGGCAATGACTCCATAAAGGAAGATATGTCCTCCACTTTTAAAGACTTGACTTCCTCCTTCAGATATTTTTTCTCTTCATCCGACATCCCTTTCCCGAGTGCGGATTTACTTTTTTTTAATTGTTTTAGAGATAATCAACATTAGTTTATCAGATGAATCAAAAACTAAATCCATGCCAGGTACCAGAGCTATACACAAACCAACAAACATAATGCTCAACAGTGTTTAACAATCAAATCAAAAGCAGCTATATCATCCTCCTAGCTGTTAAATGAGGCAGAACCTGAAGAAATCATCTTTTATATTTTCACTTTTTATTTCCTTGTTTTAGCAAATCACATCCAAATTAAAGCAAATGAAAATTTGTGGGTTTTTAGTTCACGTTCTTAGAAAGTTGTTGTGGGCCTATGCCTATGGCACTTTAACCGAATCTTGTCAATAGTAATTTCTATATACCATGAACCTCCTGGCAGTTCTACTTCATATGATGTAATCAGTAGAAACATCAAGTATCAAACTTCAAGAAAAGCATCTGGTGCTATGAAGTGTTGTTAACAAGGGTCATTCGTTTCAAATTCAAGGTTAAACCTCCAAACCTAATGGAATTTAAGTAGATCTATAAGCCGCTTTGTAATTGGATCCAATTGGTTCTTTTTGTATTCGTATTTGTGACAGCATATTAAAAGTTTATGCAGCAGAAGTATAAACTGTTCTCAGCAATTAAAAGTCAGATACTCATAATATAATAACAACAAAATCATGAAATATAACACAAACAAATTCACCTGTTCATGGTTCTTCCAGTAAATATTACAGGAAAGAATTTCGCATACTTCCCAACACCGAAGGTTTCACCCAGTTGCTCTATTTTTTGAGAGTCCAGCGAGATTAAAGCTTCCCAGAGAAGGCAATAGTTCTTTCGGAAATCTTCAGACAATGGTTTATAAATCCCATGATCCAGAATGACTACATTTATTTATTTTATGCAAATAAGGAGTCAATTTAAAAATCAACGATGAAGGATGACATGATATGATTAATACCTTGTTAAGAGAAAATTTGCGAGTATTAAATGTTGTCATACCTAACGAATAGCCATCAGGCCCGTGTGGTGAAACTAGGATATTCCCAGGATGTGGATCTCCATGCAGGAAACCATGGACAAATATCATCTCAGCAAACACATCAATCAGTGTTTTTGCAACCTATCATGAAGAGAAAAGACATGTCACTCGTTTCATGCAGTGAAGGTACTAAGCTTAGACCTTTTGTATCAGCATAACCTTGATCATTTAAGGTCTAACCTAGCTGCTAGTTGAGTATCAGGTTATCACAACACAGTATAAAATCATGAAAAAAATATATATGATAAGATACAATATGATTGGTCTTTCAGCACACGAACCTTAAGTGGATTTATTCCCATTCTGTTCAAATATTCCACGTCATCAATCTGAAAACCATGGAAAAGCCCTGTTAGCCCTAGTTGTATTTCTATTTCAGTGAAGTCTCCTATACAGAGAGGTGCATTGACTGTGATTAAGCAACTGAGCGACTCACTAACACGTACTGACTGCCGCTGTACAATTTTTCAGTAGAACTTATTTGAGAATAACTAATTTACACGTAAAGAATGGACAACCTAGACTCCAGAATTCATGCACTCCGATGTATGCTTAATAAACATAGCTCTCAGGTTTTTCATAGCATGTCAAATTTGTCTGTTAAGTGTACCTTCTGTCCTTTACAGAACTGCATAGTCAAGACCTGTCTGCTTGTGAAATCCTGGTGATATGAACATCATACTAAGCTCAAAGATATAATTAACAAATACTTTAATATAAGATATATAGATTGTGGAATGAATATTGTTTCTCTCTAAAGTTGTTGATGTAGCATACCCAGTAAACATGAGGGATCGTGACCCTACTGTTCTTTCGAAAATTATATGCTGCTCTTTCTGAGTTTTTAGCCTCCTGAATGAAATCTATAGAACAATAATAAAAATGCTATCCAAGGAGATTCAGATAAAGTGAAAGAAGCTGTTACGAGTTTTTCAGATAATTTTCCTTCCACCAAGAGTTATGCATGTAACGAAAAACTATATCCTAAAGAATATTACTTATACTTGCACAAAAAAATTGGAACATTACAGCCAAAAGTGACCAGGAAGTGAAGGAAACAGGAAAAGGTAAGGGAAGAAAAAGGGGAACACATGCATCTTATTAAGGCATTAAACCTTGAGAAGTTGCTCATGAGATTAGCTAAATAGGATTTTAATAAAGGAACCCAAATGTTCTTGATTTATATTTGAATTCAAAGCATACAAGAATTCAAATTAATAATACAACTAAATAGTAGCTAATATTCTCACCAAGTTCAGAAGCAATAGACTTTGTAAATTCTGCAACCAGCCACTGAAACCTGTACTCTGGAAAAAGCTGAGAAAAGAAAGGCAATCGATTTTTTAGAATCTGAATCACAAAGGGAGAAACCCCTAAACATCTTGACTCATTTGAACACAGGTACTTTGCATCTAATCCATTTCAACCTCTGTAAAATACAGGGATAAAGGAACAGTCCGAACCTTAAATATTTTTTGATACATTCATGTATTTATCCACACCACAAGACTGAAGAATTGCTTTAAGCAACTAGTCATGCTATTGAATCACAAATTTAGAACAGGAATATCAGGAATTGATGTCGATTTTGATGTCAATCTAACAATCATCTAGGTCATACTTTGTAATTCCTTTGAGAAATTATCACCCTTTCTATCAATAGCAAACAAGTCAATGTGCATTAAGCATCTGACAACTGAAAAGCTTCAGGTAGGATAGAGAAAGGAGGCCATGGAGAAGTAAATAAAAAACAGCCGGAAAAATAGAACTGAATATTATCTTAATTTATTTACCAGACTTTTGTAGAAAAATTTCAACCCTGCATAAGCAAAATAAAAATAGAAGTAAAATGAAATAAAGTAACAGGATAAATACTTATGTTTAAAGTACTTGAAATGGCACAATGCAGATTTTGTAAGCACATTCGCTTTACATGCATGTTTCTCTTGAATAGTCACCCAATTGATTTCTTTGAGGAAAATAAACTGACAGAAGGCTATGATATTTTAAGTTAATGAGAAATGAAAATCTTACCCATGCAACCGATCTGGATAGGAAAGCCATGGTTGTGAGGTCAAAATTCATTTGATACTCTAATCCTGGATATTGAACCTGTGATTCAGGTGCCGTGAGAATTAAGCATGTATAATGATCAATGGGTCCTAGTAGAACTCATCCCAAAAGCTAGCTCAAAGAGAGAGGGTGCGTAACCCACACAGTTACACAATAACAGTCCAGTAACTAATCGATGAGGGACAAACATAACTTCTAACACTGCCCTCACGCGCAGCGTGCCAGAACAAATGAGCCGGTTCCAAACCCAACGTGGCCTCCAAATAAACAAATCTGGATGCTCTAATACCATGATAAACGTGACTCGATAGAAATCATCTCTAAAAGCTAGCTCAAAAGAAGAGGGTTCCCAACCCTCCATTATACACTAATAGTCCAGTAACTAATCAATGTGAAATAAAATTACCTTCTAAAATATATTGATCTAGAATTCCGTTATGCACTAAAAGACACTCAAGCAAGCAATAACAATTTGGTTGTTGTATGGCCACACATGAAGAGCCGACTCCAAATAAATGATTTTAATTAAAAAATAAAATAAAAATCATCAACCAAGTAATTATAGCCATTTAAATATTTCATTTTGTGGTGGTTGAAGCTAATGAAATTTTTATATCTATACTACAATCTATCTGTACTGAATGATGGATATGACCAGAGGCCTTACCATAACGGACTTTATGTTTTCACCTAATCAAATATGATATAAAGCAACAAGATTAATACTTCTAGCTTCTTGTGCAGATTTATAATCTTCAGTCTGTTCTACAATATGGTGTGTTAGGTAATTATGACGAAGTGAGATTTACCTTGTCCAATATTAATATATTTTATTGAGTTATTGTAATAACAAATAATGTAAATTCGAAATTTAAATAGACATAGTTCCAAGACAATGGATAAAACCTTGACTGCAACTTCCTGATGGTCTTGCAAATAGGCATGGTGTACTTGAGCAATTGAAGCTGCGGCAATGGGTTGCTCATCAAATGAGTGGAAGCTGAGATTCATCAATCCACATAGGTCTGACCTCTTAGCAAGAATTAATGCTCAAAAAGGAAATTCTTCTATGGTTTTATGGAAAGCTATAAACAATTAACAGAAACATCTATATGATGGAAATCAAACTCTTTCTTGATCCTTTTAAAGCTTTATGCGGGTTGGTAAAGTTAGTTAATTTTGTCAACTTGAGACCTACGTGTAGCGATTTCTTTAATTATACCTATGTGGAAAGATACAGACGAGATACGTGCTAGCAAAAGTCATCCTTTAGGACTCCAAACTGAGAAAGTAATTTAACTACAGTTTTGAGTGCATTAAGCCAGTCAAAACTTACATCTCTGACAAATCCTTCCCCAGACTCTTGACTACAACTTCTTTGACAGCTTCGAAATCACATGGAACTGCCTAAAGCATCGCCAGAGTGAATTTGATAACAACTAACCAAAATGTTCTGCTCAACAAAACAAAAACAAGAAATGATTTCAATTGAAAACCTGATCCTGCAAAGACGATAGAGTTGAAGAGTATTCTCTTGGAACTTGACGCATGGCTGCAACAAATTGGCCAGCTTTGATGTAGAAACCTTTGTTTGCATCACACATTTTTAAAATTCTTCCCGCTGACCGTAGATGTATCTAGAAATAAAAATACAACATCAACAGTGATACTTCATAACCAAAAGAAATAATAAGTACAAAAGGGGAAGGACGTTCCTGG